TTATTTCCGAAAATAGAAGTGGAGGCACTATACGCGTCAGAATTAAAAACTTATTCCGATACTAATAAAAGGTCGCGAAAACGGTAAGAATTTTTTGATACAGTTCATCATGATGAGGACGACAAAAGTTCATGTAATCAGGGTCAAAAAGCCTTTAAAGGATAAACAAAAGTTAAAACTACGTAACAAAATGACTACGTAACAAAAGTTACAAAAACAATAATGAGATTTTTAAAATATTTCATACAAACTCAGTGACAATATATTATTTGAATCTGGAAGATACCGCATTACTAAAAAAATGGTACAGTGAAGACACGACACAAAAGAATTGGATGAGGAACTGTTACAATTTCTATTACTTTGTAAAAGTTGTTAAAATTTAACCTTGCCATCTGGCATGCTGATATTTACAAAGACTACAAAAATTGTATCTACATTTCAAAATATGGAAATCGTATTACATATATTTTTAACTTTGCCTGTATCGAATGCATCTGGTGAAAGATTGTTTTTGGTGTTAAAACGCGTAAAAACTATTTACAGAACTCGTAAAGCTAAACAAAATTAGCTTCTTTAGTTGTACTCTACATAGAACAAAATATGTTGGACAATATTAATTACGAATAAATAATAAATTTGAAGAATTGAAAGCCAGAAAAAAAGTAATCATTTTTTTTCAAAACTCGGGTTTTGACATTTAACAGAATAAATTTATTTTTCTTAATTTCTGATATACAAACAAAAAGTTCCAGTTCTATTGATTCATAATGAAACGCATGTTTATAATTATACTAACAATGGAAACTGTATTAAAGATTTTTGAAAATTGACTATTTTTGTTAATTATTATTATATACCTATAATTTATTAATTTGTTAGAAAGTTCCCATAAAAATTACATAACACCCCGGGTGTAGAAACCCGGTAGGAAAAAATGTCTAGCGCCCTAAAATAGGTTAATCCGTCCCAGTTCATTGTAATATGTATGCTAATTTTTTGACTCCCAACTAATATTACTGTTTTTATGAAAAAAAGAAACTTTCGCCTACTTTGAAATGAATACCAGCCACCTCTGGTATTAATAATTATTATACGAAATATTTTCGTGTAATAATTATTTCGTATAATAATTTCGTATAATAATAAATAAATGTTCTTTCTGATTCAGGTAACGAATGATTATCATTGAATTACACCGATTTCCGCAAACCAATAAAAAATCTATATGTAACCAGTAAAGTAATACCGAATTTTGGTGCCGTGTGGAAATCAGTAAGAGTCGCAGCAATATATGTAATTCTATGGCAATAGGTGTTTTAGAGTGGCCTGGTTATTTCCTGTTGTAAGTGGGAATAATGATATTCAAAATAATCATTTCTTGCGAACTATTTCGAGACTTCATTTGCCGAACTAATTGCAATTGAAAAGAAAGGGGTGGCTTTAAGTAGACCAAAGTACCTATAGATTATTGGGAATTTTTCTGAAGTATGTAGCCTGAGTAATCAATTTAATAAGCATTGAGTGCTACGTGAAGTTTTAGTAAAGGAAGACTTATCAAATGTGTGAATGAATAAATGTCTATTAAGTATACCTATTTTACTATCTTGCAGCTCCTGACAGCTATTTACCATTTCTAATGAGAGTAAACGTTTTACGAAGTTGATCTCTCGTAACATAAAAAGAGTTGTAAACTGGGCATAAAGATATGAGAATTAGGCTGAATACCAATGGAAATCCATGGTATTTAAACATAAGTTCAAATATTAAATTCAAAGTGATTTCAGCTATTTTTTACTTTCAAATGTTAATGACAATGCTCAGATAAACAACAACAAAATCCTCAACATCTACATTTCATTTCAGTTGACGATGAATGGAGGCACCTGATCTTTACTTACAGTCCCACATCCATCATGAACTAGATTTAATTTTAAATGACGAAAACTAAATTTTTACATTTTTCATATTGCAATATATAATGTTAATGAATACATTTTGATATATATTTACATGAAAGAGGAATGCAACTCTTAAATTTAAATAAAATGCAATTATATTAAAATCAATAAAGTCTACAATTCATGGAATCCAAAAAGTTCGATCAAACATTCATAAAATCGATTGTACAAGAAATTATAGTATCGTCATTATGTCAATACATATTATGCTTATAAAAGAAAGTTATTATGTGTGAATTTATAAATAAAATAATGAAATTTTAAAAGAAGAGGTAAGTATGTTACTATTACATCCATGTTTGTAATGATGATGGCAGTTATCTTTTCCCAGGTCAGAAAATAGATTCATAATTTTACAGATTTTAAGAATAAAATTACTTTTCTTAATAAGGAATCTTTTGAAAGGAGTGGCATTAGCTGCAGGAAATTTAATATGGTATTCTTTCGTTAAGAAACATTCCAACTATATAATGATTTGGAGATCCTATGCCCCCAAAAGCACAATAATTAGTATTAATAAATCTATATTTATTGTAAAACGTTGCCAAGATCCCAAGAACCAAGAACTCTGGTTTCCTTCCCAATCTTCGCAAAATGTTCCTTCAAAAGGAAGCATGTGCTCTACTTCTGCCATCTGTTGCACATAATCAAACTTAAAAGGGTTATTATTAAATCTTCTTGACGAAACACATACAGCGGAAAAACATGTACACGTAAATAAATAGAATTGACGACCACAGAAATTGCAGGTGAGTAGAATTCTGCTGGGTTTAGACTACTCATTGAAATCGAGGGCTAAAAGTTCTCTATTAAGTGGCAATATTATTTTCTAATAAGAACGGTTTTTTATTCAGATCCTAATTTTAAAGCCCAAGTGAGTTCGTTTAACGACTTGGAAACTAGCAACCAAAAAAAAGAGCCGCATTATTGCTTTCTATGCTATCTTCTGAAATATTAAAATGCGTTGAAATCTGATCCCAAAGAAAGTAAATTATAAAATCTGCAGAAGCGGTTTTTAACTCAGAATTTTCTCAGAATGGCAAATATCTTTTTTTTTTAATTTGGAGAATATATAATTATTTGAAGAATGTATTCATTTTGGTATTCTGAAAACTATGCATTTAGTTTATAAAAATTTTGCACTTGTAGTTACTGTTTCTTTCGAAATGGACTCAAAACTTCACCGCTTAAATTTTTGTACTGTATAAGGTATTTCTCCCGCCTTCTTAACATGCTTTCATGGTGTAATGGTCAGCACATTCGACACGTATTCCAGAGGTCCGTGGTTCGAGTCCCGGTGAGGGCATAGCTCATTTTTCATCTCTCCTGCTTCGAAACAACCTGATGTCTCTACACTACTTAAAATATTTAATGCTTGAATACCTTATGTGTATTAATGTATTATACCGTTGACCGTGAAAATGTAAACAAGCAGCGCGATTTATCGTCAGTGAATGGATGAGCATGACGCCACAACAGAATCGTGACAGCTGTGGTTTTGTTTGATGTCATTCTAATTGTTTCTCGATAAGCCACCTTTTATTTTTTTTAAACAAGGTATAAATTAACCTTCATTGCAACACATTTTTCTTGCATTATGAAAAAAAAACGAGTTCTATAGCTATAGAATCAATTCTGTGGCTGCATTCCGCTTCATTTAGAGCTGGCCGAGAGAATTAACATCTGTTCAGACAAAACAGTAATGGATTAGAAACAATCATTTAAGGGAAGTTTGTACTCATAGCTTTCTAAACAGAGCTTCTGGTAAAATCGAATGGCGTAATAAAACAGTAGAAATCGACGAAAACATTTTTACGAAGCGGGTCGAATACTTCCGCAGCTGTGGCTTTTTGGTGGACTGTACAAAGAGATTGATGAATGTTTTATGGTAAGAGTTGCGGACAGAAGTGTGGCTCAGAATTTCTCAACAACGGTTAGCGCATCTTTGGCCAACTTTCATAATTCAGCGTTAGGCAACATTCATCGTTGACTGGACTGGGTAATGTTTGAGAATAAATGAGTTGCTTGAAATGCTAATTTTTTAATCATAATGCACATGAAAATCGATTATCCAAATCGATCCTGATCTCACTGCAATCAGAAAGTTAAAGCTATGCTGTATCGGAAATAGTGCATTTTTTTTTCCTTGAATTCTTAAATTCTAAATAACTAAATGTTATTTAGAATTTAAGAATTCAAGAATTAAGAATTTAAGAATTAAGAATTTGAGATTCTTAAATAACTAAATGTATCATAATTATTACTTAAATCGATCTTCTGTAAGTACGAAATCAATTATGTCATTTGAAAAGCCCTTTTTAGACATTCCAAATCTCTATAGGGTGAATATTATGCCTTGTTGAAGGGAAAATTTCGTAATCTTAATTTTCAAGTTCACTATAAAGAAGTTAAATGGAAGTGACCGTACGTTCATGAATTTTAAAAGCAAAGCAATATCTACCGATTCTTTCTGCCAAAAACTCAAATTTTTGTTTTTTCATTGTACTATGGGCTGTTAATAGTTTCGTATTATTTCTTTTACTTTTATCTAACATACGTTATTCAAGTGGAGAATTGAAAAGAGGATACCTTGGAAAGCATGTTGCCATTTACTTCTTCTTCCTAAAATTTATTAACATTTTTTTAATATATTTTTTTTACTTTTATGTTAGAAGATTTTCCTTCTGTCTCACATTCTTCTTTCCAGTTTTTATTTTGATGGATAAAGCAATTTTTAAATGCTCTTAAAAAATTACACAAACTTTATTATAGAAAAGGGTCTATGACTGATAGGAAACAATAATTTGTAACGTTGACATAGATTGTTAATTTGATATCGGTGGTTAACGTGAGAGTATTTAATTATTGATATAAAATGCGAATAAACACTACTCTGCTATATTCAGTTCCTTTCTGTGCGCTTGATGTTTCTATATCTATCTATGTTTTGAACTCCCGCCCCGTTCGTGAAGAACACTGCGTCGAATAGTTCTATATGTATCACTCATATTCATATTTTAATAAAATATATTTTTACAGCGTTGTTTTCAAGGAGAATGCGTGCGGTATCGTCCCGCCAACCTCACACCCAGAGATGGACAATGGGGAAAATGGAAACCCTATGGTGACTGTTCACGAACGTGTGGAGGAGGGATTCAACAAGCAGTTCGAGAATGCAATTCTCCAAAGTAAATATACAATTGAATTACCTTTTATACTTATTAAGCATACATTCATATTCTTTCTGGGATATAGTTAAACCACTGAGTGATTCAAAATAATTCTAAAATGCCCAAATTTGAGTACTTCAAATTTCTCATTCATTCTTGCTGAACCATTATCATCGTTTATAGAACTTTTTTGTTGCTTCCGAAAGAATTTTTCATACGTAAAATACACAAATTTTTACCAAATTATGACTAATTCTATAACCTCTGCTGAGGATGAAAATTCTTTTCTACAAAATTAGATAAGCTCAATACTGATGCATTTGGTTGATAAAAGTTTATTAGCCTTAGAATTTAAACTATTATTTATCTTTTTGAAGCTTTCATGCTAGTTCATGCCAGTGAAGCAAAAGACTTCTGAGAGATTCTTCCAATCCTTCTGAGAGATTCGAGACCGGTCCTAACGTTATGGCACTAGCCACTCTACTGAACAAGGCGGCTCTTGTATATTATGCATAGAGATTACTGCATAAGCTTCATCCGGCTTGGATGTTCAATCATAAGATGTCAGTTGCCCACCAGTAATGGAATGGCTGAGACCACTGAACACTGATAGTTCAAATCCAGGCAGACGAACTGACTGCATGATTTTTTTCGGGGTTTTGGCTCGTGTGCAATGCAACTACGAACCAGCTTTCCTTAAAAAGAAATCATTTCTTCTCTTAAACAGATAGCCCGTGCTTTGCTTGCCATAACCGATTAAACAAACATCGGATGTCCAGCATTAGCTGAACTAACGGTGTACTATGGCTTTAGCTACTGAAAGATCCCGTGGTATGTGAAGTAATGACATGCATAATCTCAGAGATACAGGAAATCTAAGCATTTAGTTGTACAAGATGAGCAAAAAGTAGCTTAAACCAGTCTATAGCACGTTTCTAAATTATTTTTATTTTTAGTTATTTGATTATAGTTGATCTCTAATTTATTTTTAGCTATTTGATTATAATTGACCTCTAATTTATTTTTGCCTAATACAAGCGTTTTCCCCAATACAAATACAAATCAAATTGTAAGCCAAGAAATCTTATGCGTAATACTAAATTTTCGGGCTCATGTTTCTCATAAAAAAAGTAACACTTATTTTTGACAAATGGAAAAAATAAAAATACATCATAAAATAGGCGAAACCCCTTTTCATTTTCTATGGGTGAACCATTTCTAGAGGAAGCTGTAATATTTTTTCACAGCGAATCACAGTAGGAGATTATGACAGAGTGATTTGGTCGCAGAGTCAACATTGCCCAGGTCAAGGTCAGTTTAAACTTCATCATTTTTATAGCTTCAACTAAAACCACTAAAATATTTTAACAATAGTAATATTTGAAAGACAGCAGGAAGGATATAATATTTGCTATATTCCAAGACACAGTACAACCAGAAATTGTAAAATACTTAGGAGTGAGACAAAAGAAAAGGTAAAAGTTTTCCAAATTTACTAGTAAAATTTGTTGAATTCTTATACGTTTAATAATAATATGTAACTGAGCTGAAGTTTACACTTAATAAATAAACCAGCGGCAATTTTGATTGTCAAAACTAATATTCCGATATTTCAAATTATTTCTTTTTTTTAATTCTGGTATCACTATACTGATCAATTACACCATTTGTAGTTGATTTCCAACAAAAACCTTGCAAGTAATCATAGTTTACTTCTCATATAAATTTCTGATCTATCTTTAGACTTTGGTATTAACAAACAATGCTGCATTTTAATCAGCTGGTGTATATTTACATACTACAATATACTGTTTCTTTGTAATTTCAGACAGAAATTTAACTTCAAAAGAAATAGCATTAAAAGTATATACAAAATTTTTCGCAACTGTTTACTTCCCACTGTTTATTATAAGTTGCGTTTCAGAAAGTTAAAAATATCATATTCGTGAAAAACTAGAAATTAATATGTGAAAATAAAAAATTACGTAAAATGAAAAACTAAAAAATGTTATTGTTATCTCAAACATAATTCCTGTTTAATTATTATTGTTTTGTTAATTTTATCATAAGCAGGGAAAGAAAGAAATTATTCTAGGTACGTTTTATGCTAAGAGAGAGAACGCCGTCAAGTTTGGAACTCAAATCGGAAGCACATTTGTGAAAATTTTACTTCCTTCGTTATTAGAGCAAAGGTTGTTTCTATTTTAACTACGAAATATCTTTCAAATACGTTATAATTCGTTTCATATTGTCGGAGGAATGTCTTACCGCAGAATGTTTATGCAAACAGTAACTCCAACTTGCACAACGAGAGTATGCGCTGTGCATGCATCAGAGGTTTTAAATGGATTCTTTATATATATATATATATATATTGGAGTCAGATTTCACGAATTATTACAGTATGTCTTTTAATATACGAGTAACATGCTTAAATAAAAAATTACAATGCTTTTAGTACATTTCAATTACTTTTGTTTAGAATGCATTAAAAGTTTTAAAAAAAGCCACAGAAGTAATACTAAATAGAAAATTCTGTCTTTGTGGAAATAAAACATTTTTAGCAGATCCAAATTACTTAAACTATTAGAATTTACCATCCGATACCATGAATAACATATGAGAAGATTGTTACTCCTAAATTTGAAACAAAGGGTACCGAAATTTCTGACAAACCGTTTTTCGTAATCCTGAGCCATTAAAAATGATAAACAAAGAGCTATTTCTAAATATACGTGCATTTACTGAGAGATTTTTCGAATCATCACTATTATAACTCAGATTTTGCTTTCCTTTTGTTCGACAGAGTAGTTGAAATGTTATTCAAATAAAGTTCATTTCGATTTCACCATTCACTACTCCGTTTGCATCTTGCAAAATAACAGTATTTACAAAAATAAAAGATGGATCGATTTGGATTATTTAATTCCAATGTAGCACGTAAAAGCTTTCTGCCGAAGTTCCTTCCTAGTTGTTATCCAAATCCGCCGTTGATAGTATGGTGACTAGACGAGGCTAATTATTAGTTCTACAACAACGACGTAGCTTCAACTCCTGTGTAAATATAGGTTGTAAGTATTTTGCCTACCCCCCTCCTTGTGGGTGTAATATCGATCTTCACTTGTGTTGTCCCTGGGCAGTGTGTGATGACCGATGGTATCGCTTTTAACTCTGAATAAATTCTTAATCAGAAAGTGTCTGGCAATTAGAAAGAAAAAAACATTTTGATATAGAGCATCCTGGAGAGATGAGAATAAAAGATGTATTTCTTTTATTCTCATCTCTCCAGGATGAGAATAAAGTATTCATCCTGGAGAGATGGGAATAATTTACATGTATTAAAACGCATGGGTAGAAATATAGCCAATCAGAGGTTTCCAGGACATTGATAAACGAACAATCTTTTCAGAACTTTGGCATTTTAATACAAATTACAGAAAGGTTTCATGAGCCAATAAAAATATCCATTTCATATTCTTGAATTCAGGTGCATTCAAATGTCCCAAAACTACAAACATCTAAAATCCCTAAACTAGTCAACTGCGTAAAATGTTTTTCGCTATACAACAAGAAAGATCTACTTCAAAGAAAAAAGATTCTCGATCCATCGAAGAGTAGTTAATGAAAGTACTTAGATCACCTGACTTCACGATTTAAGCAATTTGTATCACCCCTTTTTATCCTTTGCATATTCTCTATATCAAATGAAATTCACAAGTAGTTAGACTCGCACTGCTCTTAAAAGAGCTAGACATTCAAATGTCTAAAAGCAACTATACAAGAAAAACATTAATCAGATATAAATTCGCGTAATCTTTTCTCTTAAATGTATGTGACATTCCATCGACATTCTTAACAATATTTAAACAGCAGCGACCTTCTTACCTTTTGACGTCAGTCTTAACCATCTACTAAATACTCTTATCATTCGGTCACTAAAATTAGAAATATATTGTGATGATTCTTTAATAGAAGCAATTAACTTGAAACTTTTAACTCATCTAAGAGAGGAATTGGCGACGCTATAGGATCCTTAATTCTTCCCCATAGGTTAGTCGTTGCCTTTGTTTAAAGTTCTAAAAATGGACTAGAAGTGTAATCTTTTGTATACAAGGTAAAATTATTAACAAAGATCCTTAATATTTCCCCATTGGTTAGTCACTGCCTTTATTAAAAGGTCTATGATTAGAAGCGTAACTTTTGTATAAAATATAAAATAATTAACAGTAAAATATGTTTACTCACGCGAAACGTTTTGCAAAATCTTTCATGATACCTATCTAAGATTTGAATTTCAAATGAAAATTCTTATGCGAAAGTATATGTGTTAGGAATCTTGAATGAGTATACGTCTTTCAATTCTATCATTACTTTCCATTAGTGCCAAATAACTTCAGGTTACTTGCATTTTTTATCAAAAGGTAACCAGGTATATAGAGGTGTTCATTAAAAAAAAAAAAAGAAGAAAAGAAAAAAAAAAAAAGAAACTTTAGTTTGTAGACCTGGGATCTGCACTTAAGGAATTCCTCTTCAGTAATAAGGTCACAGGCCTTCTTCTTTAGGCACGCTACTAGTCTGCACATAAATGATAAATACTGCCATCTATTTTTAGAACCGTTATAAACCTAGTTATAAGTGCCGCATATAAGCGAATTGCGGTAATCAAATAAACAAAAAAAAAAAAACCTAAATGTCGTATTATAAGATATAAAATGCATGTTATTTCATATCTGTCATGGATTATTTTATTTAATTATGGCAATGCACACGAGGGCTATCTGCCTAAAGGGAGGGATGCCTTCGTGGAGGACTTTCTAAGGGAAACTGGCTCGTATACACGTTACACATGGGGAAAACCACGAAAACGCATCATACCTGCCATGTACTGAGTTTCAGCTAATTATGTCCTTTGAATTTTAGAAGTAAGTTAGTCAAACTAGACTGGAAAACGGAAATCAGATTTAACTTTTTCGCATTTTACACTGAAAAAAAAAAAAAAAAAAAAAAAAAAAAAAGATCAGATCGATTGGTTATCTTATGAAATGTCATTATTTTTATGTGTGTAAGGATAATTTTGGAAAGCAACGTATAATTTTATTCAGAAATTTTCTGCGGGCAAGTGTGTCATTTAAAACGAATGATTATATGCAGCACGGAACAATCTTGGTTTTACTATACAAGGTGTTTCGAGACTCGAGAGGGGAATTTAAGAGGTGATAAAAAGATGCGTATTAGAAATGCCTTCACGAGTAAAGGTGCATTCATCACGTGGCGCATAATCTGCAGGTATTAAGGCTTGCACTTTCTGTACACGGTAGGGGTGTAATTCTTCGTCCCGTAATACTCGCCAAACAACTGAGTGGGGCATATTCACGACATTGGAAACCTCTCGCGTGCTAATATCCGGACCATCTTCCATTCTTTGCAGAATATCCTCTACAAATTGTGGCTTCGACACACGCCTGCCACGCCCTGTATCATCCATGCCAGTGGCAAAGGATCCCGGTCTGGCACGTGTCTTCTGCCTGTACAGTCTTTTGTCTTCCGAAGCAATCCCATTCGCAAGACCATACATAAAAATGCATGTCCGCTTTTTTCTGATTACTGTACATCGAAATGCCTTCTGAAATCCAGGCTAGAAATGACGAAGTGAGAAAACTCTCGCTTTATGCTTTCCATTACAGCGCCATCTAGGGGTTCATCGCTTACTCTCCGCCCATGCACTGTATGGGGAAAATTGTATGTTTAGATGTCTTCTATCACCTCTTAAAGTTTTTCCCATGAGTTTCGAAATGCCCTGTATAAGAATACAGATAAGGTTAGATAAATTAACAGCGACAAAATATGCTAAACCTATCTCCCTAGAGTTGATTTTGTAAAATTCTTTCGTACAGGAAGTGATGTTTGTACTGCACATTGAGGAAACTACTTGAATCCTTAGGCTTTTGCCGTCTTGTGGAAAATCAAAACGCTTAAAATGATGTTTGTGCTCCGTAGTTTTATTCGTTTAGTCATTAGTAAGCTGACTCAAGAAAAACTAATATTTCAGTAATCTATGATAATCACAGTTTTATGAGTTTTCACCTTATAAGGTATTTCTCCCGCCTTGTTGGCATTCCTTCGTGGTGTGGTGGTCTGCACGCTAGGTGCGTATTCCATAGGTCCGTGGTTCGATTCCCGGCGAAGGCGTTTGCTCATTTTTCATCTCTCCTGCTTCCAAAATCCTAATGTCTCTACAAGTGGCACCCGAACTAAAAGGGTGTTGGATGATGATTTTCCACACCCAGCATTTGGCGATTGAGTCCCCTAAAACCCCAATCGCTCTTTAAAAGGGGAAGTATATAAGGCATTTCTCCCGCCTTCTTGGCATGCCTTCGTGGTGTGTGGTCTGCACGCTGGGCGCGGATTCCAGAGGTCCGTGGTTCGATTCACGGCGAGGGCGTTTGCTCATTTTTCATCTCTTCTGCTTCCAAAATCCTAATATCTCTACAACCTCTCAATTCAACGATTAAGAAAGCGCTTTTATGCTTTCATTTTACCTTCGTTAAGATTTAGCTTTACATATCTTTAAGCAGTTAGGCCTTTTTCTCATAGCTTTTTGCAAGTATTTTGTTAAAGCAGTTTTTATTGAACTGCCTGTATAGCTTCTTTTGCAGCTGATTTTTTTGGCATTCGCCAAACTACAAAAAATGCCGTATCAACATATTGAGAGAAAGGCATAGTTTGCGAGTTACGAAACGCTGAACATGAATAACAAGCGAACGCGATGACTATCTTAATATAGTGTCTTAAGATAAAACCGCAAAATTATGGCGATGCATTCTGTGGCCAAAGATTAGCAAACAGTCCCATTAATATACAACGGGAAACGCTTAGTTTACAAGTTTTGATATGGACATCAGTGACAAAAGGACTTAACTGACTAAACATGACTGCTGTGTTACATGTTTTTGCAGCATCGACTCCGATGAGATGTTACGAAAAATGTAACACTCCGTACCTCCCTTGATATGCTTTCTTTAGTTTTCTTTTTTTCGTTTATTTTTCGACTTTTTCTGCAGTATTAGGTTTTTACTGTTCCAAGAAGAGTTATGAATTTATTAATATAAATTAGTATCACTGCTACTAGACTGACTGCGTTATTTAGGTCAAAATTTTATTTGAACTAAACAAAGCTGATTCGGCTTTTTGTTGGTTATAAGACATCGCAAATTTCGCTTAAAAATTACTGAATAAAAGATATTTCAAAATGATTTATTTAAATCGTGTAATATTCTCATATTTTTCCCTAGCTAATCTAGCCTAATTAGAAAGAAAAGGAACTACTTCCGCATTTCGACAGATCTCTCACTTTTTTACATAAACCTCCTTTATAGAATATGCAATGTTTAGCTGATTGTGATTGCCTTAGAAATTACAGAAATGATTGTTAAATTCAAGACTTACGAATCTTATTTTAGCTATTATTTGCTATCTTAAAAGAAATAGAAAAATTTATCAAATTTTATTTTTATGTAAAGTGATCGCCGTTTTGACGAGTGAAGCATGTTACACTCTAAATGAATAGTCCGACTGGTTTCTTTTATTTAAAGATAAATTGTTATGAAAATTTGAAAAACAAACTTTTGTTTACTTTTTAATAGTAAATCTATAAATTAAAAAAAATTATATTTATTAGTCCTCGGTTAATATTGTAATCATTTACATAATTTTAGATCACAGGCACTGTCACATCCCAGTGAGAATCCAGTGCCAAAATCTTATGAATGATTAACATTTGTTTCTTTTAAAAATGTTAAAATAGCCTGAAATGTTCGTGTCAAGTTAATGTAAACTTGTTAAAATATTAAGTTTAAAAAGTACATATGAAATTTTATTTTCAGACCAGCCAATGGAGGGCGTTACTGTACAGGAATTCGAGTGAAATATAAATCGTGCAATACCGGGGTGAGTGGCATATTTTTAACTATTTAATTCTCATTAAATATCCTACCTTTCATATAATATTAATTTTTTTCCTTCTAGGAATAAAATTTAATGCAAGAAATGCAATAAAAATTTAATTATAGGTACTGAGAGTCCAGGTTTAGATATTACTCTGTTCGATATGTCCGAGTACAGAAAATGATACCCCTTTGGGAAAAAAAGTGAAATGGGAAAAAGTTAAACAAAGCCTTTTTAATTTTCAAAGTATATACTTTCATTTGTTATTCCACGTAGGAACTCACATAATTGAGTTGTTATCTTATCAGAAAACAAGTTTTTCTATACTCTTGTCATGTAGTTCTGCCGTCAGCCCCTCTAGAAATATAATTATTGTTTGGATATCTGCTTTGTCAGCAAAGCGCTTTCATATTAATATTTATGAATTTATTGGAAAAATGAGAACTTTGGGAGGGGGTGAAATAAAATAGAACAGCATTTCCTGCAGTGATATTTTGACATAACTTGCACACTTTTTATTAAAGCTACTAGCTTTTAGTTATACACTGAAAAACAATTTAATTAGGGCTAGCTGGCGTTATGCAAATTCTGAGGTTTGCGCAAGCCTGGAAGTGACTTACAAATGACGTAAGCAGCAGTTTGACAAGGTAAGGAGTGCTGCTCACGGTATCAGTAACAATCAAAAGCAAAATGGATAACATTGCAGATCTAAGCACATTTTTAATCGTGGCTAAATTGTCGGGGCTCGACGAGTGGGTCACTCCATTTCGGAAGTAGTGCAGATACTCGGGGTTTCACGCTCCACTGTGTCAAGGGTGTATTGTGAGCACGTCGATTCCAGTAAAACCATTCCAGCCAGGGTCAACTGCCTTGGACAACGGCGTGTGAATGAGTGATGTCCCCGTGGGCTAGCCCGCATTGTAACAGCAGATAGACGGGCCACAGTGCAACAGATCACTCGTCAATTTAACGCTGGTGCACAGCGACGCGTAAGCTGCCACCCCATACAAAAACATCTCCTCTCAATGGAGTACAGGAGTCATAGTCGTACTAGAATCCCTCTGCTGACTGCACAGAACATGGCGCAACGATTAGGATGGCCACGGGGACATCGACAATGGACCGTCTAGATGCGGAAAAATGTTGCCTGGAATGATGAATTGAGAATCACTTTGCAGATGGCATAGTAGGTGTACGACGTAAACCACATGAAGCGATGGATCCTTCCTGCCGGCAAGGGACTTTTCAAACTGTTGAAGGTGGTATTCTTGTCTGGGGAATTTTCACAGGGACTGAACTGGAACTTCTGGTACCTATTGCATCGTTTCTCACAGGTGAACGTTCCCGGGATATCCCTGACGTTAGTTCGGGCGCCGCTGTAGGTATATTTAGGTATTTTTTGGAAGCAGGAGAAGTGAAACATTTGCAACGCCTTGCCGGGAATCGAACCCCGAACCTCTCAATTACGCGCTGAGCGTGCAGACCACTACACCACGAAGGCTCGTTAAGAAGGAGAGAGAAATACCTTATAACCTGACCTGAAATCGATCGGTTTGATCTGTCGATCAATTGAGAGAGATTTTTGAAGCTCCGACTACCTTCCTTCTAATCTTCGCGAATTGTGGGAGGTTGTTCATGAATCATGGATACGTATGGCTTCCCATTGCTTCCAGTGTCTTGTCCATGCCAAGACGAATCGCAAACGACACACTCACTTGGATGCCTCATTTAAAGAAGGTCAAGGGACTACTTCACAGGATATTTCATTCCATGCTCAGGACAGCAGCACCAACATGGGGAGTTTCTTCGAAGATGCTTAGGACGTGATACTCAGTAGTTGCTGAGTGTATTGCACTGTATGGGACCTCTATGTGGGGCATAACTGTCACTACTAAAATGAAGAATCTGCTACGCTCAGCACAAAGATTATTTCTCCTAAGCATATCCCAAGGATACAAAATCTCGCGTACTAATACACTAAACGTGATTTCAGTACTGCCGCCTCTGTATCTCTCAGCTCAGCGCGAGAGTGCAATATTACGTGTACTCCGACTCAAAGAGACAACAAGTTTGTGGCATAGGATTTATATATATATACTGACTATGAGCAAAGCATTCCCGTCAACCAACCGAATTCAGTATTTGGATTAGCTGTAAATCACCGGCGTGGTTCAAATCTACTGCAATCTACACCGATGGGTCCATAGGAGAAAAAATGTGGACCAGTAGCGGTTATTGTGCTCTACATGAAAATCAGATCTTAAAGACCTAGTAAAGAAAACTCAGGCAGCACAAATCAGTTTTTCAGGCTGAACTGATTGCATTAAAAGCTTCACCTGTCTTTGCGCTGGAAAATAATTATTCCAATATTTATACATACTCGACCTCTAACCTTCAGGCAATCAAGGCACATGCTTTAAAAATCCACTCGTCACAGCAATACAGATACTTAATAAAAACACCAAACTACTATAGTCCCAAACTCCATGGGTACCTACCCACACCGGAATACTCGGTAGTGAAATTGCATATGCAAGAGACAAAAGAGCAGCAACTGATCCCCCCCCCCGTTCGCACACTTGATGTGTCGCTCCCAGGCTCGTTCTTAAAAGTCGAGCTCGAGAGAGAATTATTGAAGCCTTGGCAACATCTGTGGGAGACAGAGACTACTGGCAGAAGAGTATAGATTTTTCCCAAAAAGTCTGTCGGCTTCAAAAAAGTGGCTTACCTTACTTTACCCAGTTTCTGACAGGGCATGGTTCCTTCATGACTTAGTAGCATCGCTTCATACGACGCGAAAACGACCAGTGGTCGTGCGGGATGGCAGGAGGTCCGGACCACTATATGTTCGTTTGCAGAGAGACTGCAGAACATCACCTCAGACAGCCAGTAATCCATGCATGGGCCGAAGTTAATTCGAAAAATCGCTATGGTTTGAAACGTACACGCGAATTTGTTAATATCGCACGTAATATCAAAGGTAGGCTTGGAATAATTTTCAGCTGCCATCCTCGTCGCCAGCACAGCCCTCGTATGTTCCATACTTGTAGTCAATTTATTTTATTTTAAATTAGCTTTTTCTGTTCTTTGTTTATACTTATTTCCTTGAATCGTGAACCTTGAATTATGTATTTTGCCTTATTTGATACATTATGTTACATTTTTATCAGCCACTTTGTTAATTGTTCATATTCATACTAATTAATGCACGATTCAGCTGATTATAACTGTAATACCTGTACCTGTATTTAAACTGTCTACAGTACTCATTTATTGTTCACGTTGTGAATGTTGACAACACTTAAGTTGTAACGATCTATCTATAACTCTGTAAATGTGAAACTGAAATTGTTTTCCTCACCCGCATTGCATCTTTCTTCAATCACTGCACCGTCGACTCGCCCAACATTTGTTTGCCCCCCCCAGCACTCGTGTTGAGCGCAGTATGCACCAAAGTGTGTCATGCGGACCAAGTTAATTCTGTCAGCGGGGCTACCTGTCCGATATGCTAACTGCCCCACTGGATCGGCTGCCTCGTTGTCGGTAGAAAGAAAGAAAGCCGTCATCAAGGCAAAAAGTGGTGCTGCGCGCTACTAGACAAGTATCCCTAATTCAATTGCTCTTCAGTGTAATATAAGAAATCTGAATTTAAGTACTTATGACTATGGCAAAATGATCTTGATGAATACTACCACTGTGTACAAATCAGTAATAGTTATACGTAATAGTGGTACCTGTGGTGTTCTCTAAAAGAATTGTTTGCATGTTGTAAATAACATTATTAAAATCAGATCCTTAGAAAGAAATTACGTTCGTTTCTTAACTACTCAACCAAATGCAGAAGTTCATTGTTGGTATAACTGATAGGTGTATTTCTAAGTATGGGTAAATGCAATTTTCATTTATTAATAGATTAATTTGCATAAAAATTAAAACTCTTAATTAATAGTATACATACTCCTATTTTGTTTCTAGATTTTCCTTCTAGGTTACCTGTCTTCTGATCTCTACAGTTTTGTTAGTCACATCTCAATAGATGAGAAGATTTTCTTCCTCCTTACAGCATGCCTTTGTAGTGTAGTTGGAAACACGTCCGGCTAGCTGTTGGGAGGTCTGGAGCTGGAATCCCGGGGAAGGCATTGCTGATTTTCCATATTTCTTACACCGAAATAAACGTAACAATTCTACAAAGGAAATATGATGTATTGTTTAAAATAAAAGAGATGAACAGACGTGACGCCTTCTTCACTGATCGTGGTTATCCTCTGTTAAAACAAAATTTTTCATTTAATGAATTGAATGATTAAACGTATAAGAAAACAAAACCCGAATCATTTCTTGGGTTGGATTCCCTGAGAAACGTCTCATTGGAAGGAGTCTTTGTAGTTTTATTCATGAGTAATCTGAATGTGAGTTAATTTTCCTTAGAAAATCCTAAACATAGGTATTCCTTTTTAGATGGGTAACTTTTGCTTGTTTTGCCATAATCAAATAACCAAAGCGGGCACCAGCATGGTAAAATTAAAGCCTGAATAATTAAAGACCAATAGAAAAGTATGATATTTATTGTTCTAACGTCCATTGAAACTGCACGATACTATAAGTGTAGGTGCATTATTTTCGTCACGTTACTCAACCAGCTGGTTCAATCGTAAGTATCTTGGAAAACTTGAATGGTTGCTTTCACATTTTTTCCATGGTTAAGTATAAGCCAGTTTCCTTCAGAAAACCATCCACAAAGGCAATCTTCCTTGGGCATATCTGCCTTATTTGTTTTTCCGTATTCCAGTAGCTTATGTTCATGAATCCTCTCTAGAGAAATACATTGAAACTTATGAATTCTATAATTTTCTTACGTATGAAAGAGAGAGAAAGTGCATTGTTAAATGTGTAATGTAGCGAACAGTACATTTAATTATTTCATGGAACTTCTTTCAGAAGATCACACATCGTTTCATGCGATTTCGGTCTTCTGTGGAGGTTGCCTTGAGGTTTTCACTGTACTTATATTTTATGTACTTATATACATTATTACTATAGTTATTTGCATTATTACGCGTAAGTTATATTATTTAAGTATGTAGTGCGAATTATGTGCAGTGTTCGATATTGTTCTAGATTTTACGTAACAGCGATAGGTTTCCTTGCGTTTTATCCACGGATAGTGAGGCTCACCTCTATAATAACTGACGACTAGAGTTTTACTTTACTATAATCTAAATTCTGATTTTATTCATCGCAGATGAAAACAAATTATTATTAAATTACGTAAAATGTTCACGAAGACAATTTATTTAAGAATAGGTCCTCTCTTATTTTGTAAATGGGGTGAAACCTCCTTAAATTACTTGAAATCTCTTTGATTCTACCGTCTTCAGATGATTTAGTCTTCTTTTGAGGTATCCTTTAGTTGATGTTTAGTGTCATTATTTAATTTTGTCTCCGGAAATATTGGCAATTGTCTTACATATCCGTCTTAGTGTGGTGGTAATTGTAAATGTTTTCACCATTTAGTTTGATAATTTGAGAAACATTAGAAGATTGAGGTATATGATAGCATTGTATTTTATAGTAAATTCCATTGGATAATTTATAGCTACTTTTGGAAGGCTGAAGTATACACTTTGCAAATAAAGCTTCCTTGTGCATTGATTATTATGAGCAATTCAGTAAGCTAATGTAAAACATAAATAAATTTCATTGAGATTCTGTTGCTGTCTGGTTTATTACATATCTCTGTTAAAAGAAAAATAAATTTGTTTTCAGAAATCTGTTTTCCTGAAAAAGTCCTGTAATACCTACAATAGAATGCTGCACAATGTAAACATTAATGTACAGTTTATTAAAGTAAAATGCTTTAAAAATACTTCAATGTATCCGTCCGACAAAATTAGACCTGTTGCAAAACGGGCAAACTATTTTGGACAGATTTAATTTCTAACGTAGAGAACACTTAAAAATAATTCATAAAAAATATATATCATAACTTTAAGAAAGTTAAATTCTGCAATAACTCATGCAATCGATGGCGTACTCATTGACGATTGTCTTTTCAGGAATGTCCTCCAGATAGTCGTGATTTCAGAGAACAGCAATGCTCAGAATTTGATGGTAACGATCTCAATCTACCTGGATTACCATCTTCCGTCAGATGGGTGCCGCAGTACACAGGGCGTAAGTTTTTTTCCTTCTATGTTTCATGTACAAGTATTCAGATTTTTACTTCAAATTATGATAGCTAGTCAGTTATATTAGTTTTATTTTATTCTAAATCAAACCGATTCTGTTTAAATTTAAAGCTTTGAAATAAGGAGAAAATTTTAAATTTATTTTTAATTAAATCATTTTCTCATTCATTGAAATAAATCCTATGTATTTTGAGCTACCGTTTGTAATTATTTTGATTTGCATTTTTTTGACGGAAGATAATTTATGACCCCTTTGTAACAGCCCAAAAGAAAAGCATCTTATGATTCTTCCATCGTCGAATATCGCTAAAATTTATAAGAAAAATATCAGATACTTGATAAAGAAAATATTAAGTAATACTCTATCAATAAATAAGATGTGAATTGAGCTGTGTTGTAAGAGTAAATTCACGATGTCCGATTGCGATGATATTGCGTCCACAATGCAATTCTTATCAAATTTGAATTCGATTTTATATTATATTTTTATATTCGAAGTTCTTATTTGCATGAATCGTTGATTTCATCTTTATCAAAATCCGTAATCACTTCGTAAGTAACTATTTACTACCTCTCTAATTTTTTAATCGAATGTAATCAAGTTTCCAAGATCTGTTATTAATGTGCTAATTATCATAGAAAATTATATTTTTGAAATTTTATCGATAATTTACCAGCAGTAGTAACTGCAAATCACAATTAGGTGGTCTGAAGATGTATTCTGAGGTGAATGCTACCCTTCTTTAAGGATAAAGACAAGTTTAAGGCGATGATAAGCAGTTAATTTTTTCAAATTTTCAGCACTACTATAACTTTCGCTGCATTTTTACACATAAGATGCGTAAATAAACGCTATTAACTATTGATGAAGAATATTGACATGCTTACAGACAACTTACAAGTTTATTTTTTTCCAGCAGAAATAATATAAATATCTGGATAAATTTTCCGTTGAAAACTTTGTTATTCATTACTTTTCAAGTTACCTCTGTTGAAGAGGGGGCACTTCTTCACAAAAATGGACATGATTTTCGTAATTATGACAGCCAAAATGATTTCAACCACTAAAAGGCAGCCTGATTCAATATCCTCTTCTCTGTACTACAAATTCGGTTCTGGCTGTTCATGAAACGCTCAATCATAATGTGTGATGAATACGAGGGTCAAAACGATATCTGGATAACTGAGGAGAGGTAATATTTGTGAGTATAATGATCAGATCCATTCTCTGAAGACATTCATCAAGAGTGGAAGGGATTTGTTCGAAGATTTTGAATAACTTACATTTAAGATGCTGCTGGGGCAGAGGAATCGTGTAAGATTCACTAGCTTCATGGCCGTAGTAGAACACTTTACCTCCAAACTACCGGACTGGACTAACAATTTAATTTAACACCTTTTAGTAATACTGGACTAACAATTTAATTTAAGGCTAACTAAGCTGACTCAACAACCTACGCGGCGATATACTTCTTAAATGGCCAAAAAGGCGTATCAATAACTCAGCGTAACAGCGAGGACAAACGGGTAATGTGCGCTGGCTAGTGAAATCACTCTCTGAATAAACTTCTCGTTTCGTCTGATTTTATACTTACTTCACTTAGCTTTAAATTTTCATCCTGGCGAGGAAATGCGAGGGGAAAAAATAGGTTCAGGAAAGGTACTAAACTTAAAATAATTTGTTATGCAAGCTAAGGGAAACCCTACAAATTCATGAATAACGAATTGAAATTTTTAGATGATAATTTGTGGGGCTATCATCCCGGAATTCGTTCTGATTCGTTCACGATAACTATGCTTGCAGATTCTAGCCAGCTAAAATACTAGATCCTTGTGATCTGATATTCACCTTACCTGACCAAAAGTATATTTATAATACATTGAGCCATTTAGTATTAACTGTTTTCTACGTCTTTCATTTTCATCAAGAAATGATTTTGAATCGTGTATGCATAAATGTAATTAATAGTTTCAATTTTTATTTTTTATTCAAGTTCTTATATTTTTGCCATTTTAATTGTCCTTTAAAAGAAAATTTCATCCGGCTTTAATCATATCGCTTTCTAATAACATTAATTCCTCTTTCAAAGTTTGAAATTTTTCTATTCATAATTTAAATTCAAGTCCCCTTAAAAAGTTTTTTTCATGATTTACATTCAAGTTTCTTTAAAACACAATTTTCGGAATTAAGCTTCCTACATATGGATTCCCTCTTTTTGATACATTCTACTAAATTTATATTAGGAGATAATATAATCAATATTTCTTTAGTAAATAAATTATTGTTATCTTACTTTGTAGCTATTGCGCAAGTATTAGAAAAACTTGTTTTGGAATTCAATGAATTTTAGATCAATCAATATTTGATATGCTAAATAGCAACTGTTAGCGCTATTTATCTTTTTAATGCATTATCTCCATATATTATATATATGGCATAATTTCTCTCATTTATAAATTTCGCTGACAAATAAATAAAGTAAATAGAGATAATCAGAATAATGCAAAACTTTGTCTAAAGTTAAAAATTAACTTTATCTTAAGTTAATTTTAAAATCTTTATCTAAATTTAATCTTTAATTTTATTCAATGAGAGAAATTAAAGAAGCAATAAACTACTGTTGAAGTCTGAAATATTTTTAAATAATTGTATTCCTTTTTAGCTAAGAATATCAATTAACCTCTTGAAAGGCAACTAAAACATTAAAATTTCAAAACAAAATAGTTGTGCTACACTGCTCCTTGCTTACTCTGCTTTAAGGCTATTTTTATGTAACATTGTTTTGGAAGGTGCGGCTGCAGTATGGGAATCTTCTCACATATGGGAGCAGTGGGAAGGAATCTTGAATGAGCAGCAATTTAGTGCTGTCTCCTCAGCAATTTTACTGATGAATGGATATCAGTTTTTTGAGAAAGAGGCGGAAATAGTGCTGTTGGAATGTTAGCTTAAGATATTTGATTTGTGCAACTAACCCCCCCCCAAAAAAATAGAAAAGTAAAATACCGACATAAATAAATATTCAATAAATATCATTAAAAAAGATGTAGATTATGAACTATTTACAGCAGATATTGGTTCTAGAGTCTGTCTTTTTTCCCTTTGATTTTGATGATGATGTTTAATGAAAGGAACATTGTGAGAACATTTCTTCTATCGCTATATCTAACAGCATAACACTGTGAAAATTATTCAAAACATTATAGAATCTCAATTATTCGAAATGGGCTGGCGTTTGATAGGTTCAGGTAATCGATTTAGAAAGCATATGTATAATAATTTTTCCTGTGTTGACTTTGAGCTGCCATCTCCAATTTGCAGGCAACTATATCATTATTAAAGTATCTCTATTGACACTGCAAACTACCAAAGAGCCAAAATGATTGTTTTTTCCCTTGCTAGTAGTTAGCTATTATTCGAGCATTAAAACAACTTCAGACATAGTAAATCCATTTATTTTGAATGTTAAGTGTAATTATATTAATGGCAACACTGTTTTTTAATAAATATTAAAAATAAAATTTTGTTACTAATTTCATATACATGTAAACAATTTTAGTGAAACAATATATGAAATGGCAGTATCTGTTGTATAATGCAACAAGTAAAGTCTGAAGAGGGCTAAGCTCTGCCAGAAAAGTAAGATTACAGGGGCAACTCTATTTTATATTGAAGTAAAAGTTACCTCGCTAATTGAAGAGATATCGCCAAACTTGCAATGGATTTGGAGACTAATTTTTATCGCCAGATTTGGCGATAAATCACCAAACGTTGCCAAGCTTAACGACCATTTGGCAGCATTTTGGTCCTGTACCTTTATAGCTATAAATTGGTACTGTAATTGAATAACTGGAATTGGTCCCTTATATGTAACTTTGACCGCATATGCCTTCCAGTAATGGAAGGTAATAGAAGGTATTAGAGATTTCTCAGCGGGCGAGGGAAAACTATAGAAGCCCGGAGAAAGCATCAGTTCGCAATTTTTAGTTCAGAGCTGGTTTCGGAATATCGAGAGATCGTGGGAGCTTCGCTGTTTGGATGCGCTTTGCATAGCGTTATGTTTAACATTCTTAGTAGTTTGAAGTGAACTGCTGATTGTGCTCTGTGATTCTGAGAAGAGCTTTACGAGTGCTTCTGTGGAAAGTTCCAGAACTGTAAAGTGTTTCTTTTATGAAAATAAATTTTATCAGTCTATCGTCGGTTCTGTGTGCTTTCAATCTGTTACGAACCCTTACGCGCGGAACGATACACAAGAAACAGAGAAGGATGTAGAATTCCATAGCAAATAAACAAAAGACTATCACAGACTCACCTGCACTTACTGATAACCGCATAATGGCCAGCGAATAAAATTTTTTAGTGTTATAAAAATATTAATAATCGCGCATAGTTCTCTTTATTATATACAATACAAATGCAACAATTTGCAGTTTGTTTATATTAAGAAGCTTCGTCCCAGTAACTCGGTGTTTCAGGCAGAACTTACAGCCCTAAAGGCAGCTCTGGAATTTACTGCTAACAATGGCATGTATAAAGTAATTTACACAGACTCAATGTCAAGCTTGCAGGCCATCCAGGACGGCCGCAGTAGACATCCCATTGTCAGAGATGTACAAAAACTATTAATTTCGATTCCTACAAGTCTGAGGCCCCAGCTACAATGGGTTCCAGCCCATATGGGGATTAAAGAAAATAAAGCAGAGGATATGATTGAGAAAAGCGCAGCCAATGAACCCCACGTGAGTAGCATTGGTGTGCCCCTTCCGCACTCATATCTGAAAACTACTCTCAAATGTGAACTAATGAAGCAGTGGCAAAACTACTGGGAGACAAGCACCACAGGCAGCAGACTGTATGATTCCCGACCAAAAGTTAACCATAATTTAAATAGCAGCTCTTCGCACCTCACACAGTATCTGACAGGGCATGGCCCATATATGTCCTATCTTCATAGATTGCGCCTAAGAGACAGTGACCAATGTATTTGTGGCAGTACTGGTGACCCAGATCACTATCTTTTTGTCTGCTCGCACACAGGGAATTCATATTTAAAAAGACCAACTGCAATCAATATGCCGGCATGGTTCAAGAACACAATTAAGAATAAATATGCGCTCAGCCGCATTAGAGACTGCACTATCATTGCTAAAAGCATTGCTGACAGCCTGGAGTGACTTCTTTCCTTGGACACAGCGCCGTCAGCAACCTGCTCCGTTTATATATTAATTTACTAAATGTCCTGTGTTTTTTTTTTGGTTTGTTTGTTTGTTATTTTTGCTTTGTTTTTAATTATATTTAATATTATGATTAATCCAGAACTCGTTTAATGTATTCCACAATTTGTAATGTATTTGATCATCTTTATATATCTACCTGATTATTATAGCACATCCTTAATATAACTGTACGCCTAACTTGTACGATAATAGTGAAAACTGTTTCGCTTAGCCTTAGCAGTCCCTACCATGAACCTTCTTTCCATGTTCTGGTCCTTACTTCAATGTTCCTCGTTTCGTGGCCAATCCCCGGAGAACACAGTACTAAGCTCTTTATTTATATTTATTCATGTATTTATTTTTAATTCCATCGACGGGATCCAACAGGCTGAAAAGCACCTAACCCAGTGGACCAGCTGGTTCCGTCGATGGTGAAAAGAAAGTTTATTTATATGCAACAAAATTCTTCTTTCAACAGCATATTTCTAAATAAGTTTGTTTTGTTTTTAATAAAATATTAGGTAATGTTTCAAAAGTCGTACCCATTCACAATCACAATCAAATTCAGAGAGCTTTTGCTCGAACTCCAGTCTTCAAATTGAAATAAATTGTGGCCCAGATAACCTAATAAAAAATAGTTTATTATGATTCCCTTGATTTTTCTATGTGATATTTCTATTGTACTAGTTTGTGCAGTGAAATTTCATGACATCCTTCTGATTGTCTTGTATTTTTCTAACATGGAATTCTTAAGAAATCCCCTTTTTTTTCGTTATTGCACGATCAACTTTAGAATTTAAAGTTTATTTATTTTCAGTGTGGCTACTTATGGTCAAGTATTTTTTCTTCCTATTTTCAATTTATTTTAGTTAAATATCAAAATCTAAATAAATCTTAAAATCATTTTGTTGCAAGAGTGCAGAATCTTACAACAAAACCATAGTTATGAAAGAACAAGCCATAATAGTAGGTTATAATGTAGAAATATTTAGAAGAAAAACTAACTGCTTCACCAAGAAAAGTTTTATCCCAAAGTAGACTTGCAAACGGTTCATTGCGAAGAATGATGAAATTTATGAACTTTTTTCCTTACAAATTACAGCTTTTCCAACCATTCAAGAATGAGCTCATCGAAAACGAGATTGCTTTGCGAATTCGTAGCCCAAAATGTAAAAATTAGTGAAAATAGAATCTATTTCAGCGTATATCCTTATTTATCCGTTAATGTCAACAAAGTAGTTGGAATCTATGAATTCAAATCTCAGTAGTTTAGGCTTACCTTCCCTGCGCTCACAGCGGACTACGCATCATATGCATTGTCTTTTAAGCAGATACATGGACCAGTATTCATAGATGGTGTTTTGACCTAAATTTTGTTGCTCATTCCTTCCCTTAATTCTAATTAATTTTTGCTGCTCCTAAATTTTGCCACGTGGTTGCTGTCACAGCGGTTGCACTGGCCGGCCAGGGCCCCGACCCTGAAGTTAGTTAAAGGTACTGGTATACAAAATATCGGAATCCAGACATTTTTTCATTTCATTACCTTTACCTTAACTACTTTCCTTCATTAAAGCCTTTCCCGGAAACTCTTTCTTTCACATGGTAGGCTAATAAAAGTTTAATTTAGAACCATGAAACCATCATTCATCTAATTTCTTTCTTGTTTCTCAAATTGTAATATAAATATGAAGAAGCGGTTTCATTTAAGCATGCTTTTGAGAATGTCAACTATGCAAAATATACAAACCCTCATCGCCGTGCCGTGCTGTGGTAAGGAATTTAACTTAGTAAAATAGTATTTAAGAATTTGTGTATTTATTTCAAAGTGCTGATAATAGTACCGTATTTTACGCTTTTATGAACAAGAAACAACAAATCATTAGCTTATTCCATATCTAAACTTCAGCCGTGCCAAACAGGTATTTTGCAGTCAATGTAATTAGTAAAACATGTTATTTTCATCTTTATAGCATAGTATTTATTTAATAAATTTTACAAATTTAAATAAAATCTGAATATATTCTTTTGGTTCTAATGGTTTGGCTTTTCTAGACTTTGCTGCTTTATCTTGAACAACGCATGAGACAGTTTACAAACACGATTGATAACGAGTGAGATGTTTTCTGTAACACCTGGGCGTGGTTGTAATATTCCTGGGTGTGGCTCTAATGCTCAAGCATGAGCATGATTTCTAAATTGTCTGAAGCTCTCCCAAACTGCTCTTGATTTAAGAAGGGTTTCATTAGCGGCATATTTATAGGCTTCAATAAGCGAAATAATTTCTTTGCTAGGTTCATTAACCCACTACCCCCCAACCCGAAAAAGGAACGTATTAATGAAGTTGTTTTAAAGTCCTACTCCTGCTAGTTGGAAATTGCTTTGTAATGAGATTTCGTGAACCGTGGCTTGTTATTATCTCCATTCGATAAATTCTAAAGTTATGTTATTCAGAGGCGTTGAAAAAATATGCGAAGGGTCTGTGAGAACGTCACTGTAAAGAAACATTACCACTGTGCTAAAAATTTCTTGAATGTTATTTACATCTAACTGAAATACGCGCATTTTTAGTTTGCAAGTGTGGAATGTGCTTTCGTTCATCAGCACATTTTGTTGAATCAGAAAAAACGTGAAATTTTGATCCCATTTTTACTATGGTGAAGAAGGTATTTGATTATGATTGCATGATACGAAAGCTATCGTTCTTAAAACCTTTCATAGGGGCCGTTTTGAG